TTTTGTTTGTTTGTTTGTTTGTTTTTTGTTTTTTTGAGATAGTTTCTCTGTAGACCAGGCTGGCCTTGAACTCAGAGATCTGACTGCCTCTGCCTCCTGAGTACTGGGATTAAAGGCGTGCACCACTGACACTTGGCATGTCCTGAATATTTGCAAGAAAACATTTTAGGATCTGGATGTGGATTTTGGCCCACCTTTAACTCCAACACTAGCTAGAAGAAGACAGAACTCTGAATTGAGGCATGCCAGGGCTATGTAGTGAGACCTCATTCAAAATGACACCAAACATTTTACTAATTGTTGAAAATTCTTGGCAAAGCTATAGAAATAGCAATTACTATCTTTATATAATAATAATAATGGCTGGATGTCTTCAATAAGACCTATGTGGAGAAAATAAATACAGATATCAGCAGAAAGTCAAAACTATTCTTAGAAAACTTGTGTTGTACAATGTGTACCAACAAGACTTACATTTTTGTCTGTTCTTTGTAAATGCTGAATGATTACTGTTTTCCATCGTAGTAACATTCTTCCAATTCCTGTAAGCTGCATTTGTGTTATAAAATCACAATCAGGTATGTTTTTCAAACTCTGTAAGTGAATTTCTTAATAAAGAAAACAGTTGCTTTTAATGATTTTGCATGGACCTTCAATGAAATATATGTGATTTAGCCTCGGGTCTGAACCTCTCACATGTTATTTCAACATAGGAAAGAAAGGTTATTTCCATTTTTGCAGCAGGATCTCACCATGTAGCCCCAATTTTCCTTGAACTCATTATGTAGACCAGGCTGGCCTCAAACTCCCAAAGATCTATCTACCTGCCTGTGCCTGAGTTTATAAGTGTGCACCACCATGCTTGTCCTGCAAGGCTAATCTTAACAGAATTTGATAAAATACCAGAATGGTTTTTTTTTTTGCACATTACACAAACCTCACAACTTGGCATAATATTATCTAAATTTATATTTCCTATTTCAGACTCAATGCTGAATGCAATCGATTATCTGGCAATGACAGTGGAATCCTGCCAGGCGGTGGCACACACCTTTAATCCCAACACTCGGGAGGCAGAGGCAGGCAGATCTGTGAGTCTGAGGCCAGCCTGGTCTACAGAGCGAGATCCAGAACTACACAGAGAAACCCTGTCTTGAAAAACCAAAAAAAAAAAAGAAAAGAAAAGAAAGTGGAATCCTAATTGAGGCAGATTGAAGTTGTACTTACAAACCTCCAGTCAGTAATTTTCTTTACATCAAGTCCTTCTCAAGGCCACCTGAGCACACAGGTTGGGCTCTTTTTTTTGTTGTATTTAAGGAAGTGGCTATGGTCTCAGCTAGCAGATAAGCTTCTGTGCTCTGTGGTGTTTTCTAATTTTATTTTTTATTTTTCTGGAATAAAGTTTGTTTCTGGTTTAATGGACTTTGATGTTCTGTCCCCCATTATTGCGAGACCCTGAACCCAACAGTGTGAGAGAGCAGCAGGGTGTGTGTGTGTGTGTGTGTGTGTGTGTGTGTGTGTGTGTGTGTGTGTGTGTGAATCTCTTCAGACGTAAAGGAAACAGCAGCAAAACAGACTGTGCATGATGGGTGTGCTGCTGTCCTTTGCTGCGCAAGAGTAACCGCTGAGTCAGCTAAAGAGGGGAAGGTGATTCTCACCGCTCCAGGCTTACTGCTATAGTTGTTGGTCCCATTGAGAGGGCTCATGGATGGTGGTGGTTTGAATGAGAATGGCCCCATAAGCTCTTGTATTTGAATGTTCAGTGCTCAGTTTGATGAGCTGTTTTGGAAAGATTAGGAGGTATGACCTTGTTGGATGAGGTGTGGCACCTGGATGGCAGGCTTTGAGGTTTCGGAAGCTCCTGCCAGTTGGCTCTCTGTTTGCTTTTGCCTGTGGATCAGAAGGCAAATCTCAGCTGCTGTTCCAGAGCCATGCCTGCCTGCTACACTGATCCCCACCATGATCATGGGCTCTAACCTTCTGGAACTGTAAGCATGCCCTTAATTAAATGTGTAAGTTGCCTTGGTCACAGTGTTTTGTCACAACAATAAAAAAGTAATTAAGACAGACAGAATATACTTGTTAGGGAGCCTAAGAAAGGAGGCATGCAGGGAGGAGAGAGAAAGACAGAGGGACAATAGGAAATACAACCACAAAACTGTTAGCAACAGACAACATCCACACTGGGCTGACTCCATGCATGGCTCTGAACTCACGGTCAGAGTCATGATTCAGTCACATTCCAGTGACCCCTCAGAACATTATTGCCATTGAACAGGGAGGGACTCAACACATGAACTTCAGGGAGAAATTTCAATCCCATACACCAAAATTGTGTGATTTATTAGCAAAGAAAAACCTCACAAATATTAAAGGAAAATCATTTTACCTTCCATCAATGGAATGCATTCAGAAAACTGTCACATTTCAGGTCCATGGCTTTAGTTCAGTATTGAACACCTGACAAATATTAGGATCACTCTTATTTTTACTCCAAGTTGAGCACAAAAGGACCATTTCTCCATTTTCAGAATCTCATTATGCAAATTCTGTGGTGTTTGCTTGTATTTTATACATTATAAGAAGTAATTCATGCTTTAAATTCCAAGTAATATGAAATAATATTTCCATGTGTTGGGTCTGAGGGTCTCAAAATAATGGAGGACAGATCATCAAAGTCTATTAAACCAGAAGCAAACTTTATTCCAGAAAAATAAAAAATTAAAAAATAATAAAACAGTGGGTGTTAGTTATTTGGCCGCATTGTGTTCTTACCCTGCAAGGAAATGTCACAAAACGTGACAGAATCCGCTAATAAGGATTTTATTAGAGATAAAGGGACAGAGAGTACGCAGGCCTGTGGAAGAGACACGTGCATGGAGAAGAAGGAACCGGGAACATGGCTCTCATTTTTTAAAGGCTGGGTGTGGCCAGGTCACGTCACTACTCCACAAATGTGCGTAGATCACATGGGCACGTTGCGCGCTTAAGTCGCCATGAAACGTTACGGATCCTGGTCACGTGAGACGACTTGACCCGGAAATGGCTATCTTGACCTGGAATTGGCTAGGTGGAAGTGTCCAGGTCCTCCGGGCATCCTGGTTACGAGAGGTGCCCTGACCCAGAAATGGCTATCCTGACCTGGAACTGGCTAGGCGGAAGTGTCTGCCTGGCATATGCAACCATGGGGGCGTGTTGTGAACCCTTCAGCGCGGGGGTGTGGGTGGGGGGGTGTACAAAAACTTATCAGCTAGCTGAGACCACAGCCAACGTTGGAATTATGGGGCTGTGGCAATGGAGGCAGTTACTGGCCCCCTTTTATAGTATCAGGCATGGAGTACATGCTAGGAGTCACATGGAAACATCAGGCGTGGGATGCATGATAG